CAGATCCTATTCAGGGTGATGGCAGCAGGAGAGAAGACGTCAGAGTGGAACTGGGCTCAGTGCCGTCATAGCATGGGCATGTGGCTCTGGCCAGCCGGCAGATGCGGGTTGGTCCTTGGAAAAGTCCTAAGAGGGAAACAGAGAACAGCGATGTTGGGGGAGGGGAGGGCAGTGTTTCTGGCAAACTGACCTGGTAGGATTTCGTCTGAAGACAGGCCAGGGTGATCAGATATCACCTGTGGGAGGCGAAAGATAAGGGACCCAATGAGATATTGAGAGTGATCATTTATGAAGGAGGGGGGTATTCTTGCGGGGTTCTTGCTAAAACTGGATTTTATGAAGAAGTAGAGATGGGCCTTGGGGAAGATTCAGGAGTCTAAACTTCGGTTAAGCAAAGACTCTTTGTCAGTGGTCAAAATTGGACCTACTCAAATGAACATCCCTCAGTGTGCGTTGGTCTTGTAGTTCCTCATTATCAGACACAGGGTGTGCTTCCGTGGTAGGAATATCATAGAACAGACTGGGGAGAAAATCGTTTATTGATATGGTCCCCAGTTTTGATTTGTCATAGTATGGATGACAACTTTCATCACTCCATTGAAGTATAACTGCCAGTTGCTGTATTTTATATAAAGTTGCTTTTCCCTCTTTTTAAATTGGTAAGTGTTTTTGGAGAAGAACTTTGAACTTATTTAATTATCTTCGTTCTCAGATTGTCATTTTATTTATAGCAGTATGGCCTCGTGTCTTCCTATTTTATTCGATGGGTTATTTTATTTATTTATTTTTTGGAGAGGTTTTTGCTATAGGGCACATGTGCTTGCCAGAGAGAGACAGAGAGAAAGAACATGAGAAATCACCCCCCAGGGGGGATGGCCACGCCGTAATCCCTTCTCCTCCATTCTCCTCTCGGGATCTTGGGCACACATGCACACGTGCCCAGCTTGAGTTTAAGCCACCGGGTCTGGGACTTGAACTGCGGTCAACTACATGGGAGTTCAGCGACATAGCCATTACGCTAACTGCCAGTCCCATTGATGGGTTATTTTAGTTATTATCATTTTCATTAAAACAAGTGTTCTCTTATAATAGAGCAGGTGTATACCCAAGTGAGAGAGAGAGAGAGAGACAGAGAGGACGCCTGGTGGGGCCTTTCTGCTCATACTGTGACATCCTTCCTCCAGTCCTCCAGCCTGTAGGGTTTGGGGTACTCACTACTCACATGTGTGCCCCGCATGTTTTAGGCCAGCGAGGTCAGGTGTTCGAACTTCAGCTGCCATGTGGGACCCGGCTTCTTTTGATCTTTTTTTTTTTTTTTTTTTAGAGATTTTCACTGTAGGGCGCGTGTGCTCGCCAGACAGACAGAGAGAGACATAGAGACAGAAAGCGAGAAATCACCCCCCAGGGGGGATGGTCACGCCGCAATCCCTTCTCCTCCATTCTCCTCTCGGGATCTTGGGCACGCATGCACACGCGCCCGGCGTGAGTTTTAAGCCACCGAGTCCGGGACACGAACCGCGGTCGACTACGTGGGAGTCCAGCGACATAGCCATTATGCTAACTGCTGGTTCCCGGACCCGGCTTCTTGTGAGCAGCCCATTTCCATTGTGCTGTGGAGCTGGCCCGCTGCTTGTTTTAATGCTCGAATTGTGCCCGATTCGGTCATCGTGAAGGTGATTTCTGCGTCCTTGTGACATACCCCTCATTCCTTGGCATTTCCTTGTTTTCTAGAAAGCATCACTAGACGTTTCAAGCTCTTTCTGCCCTTCCTTTCACAGATCTCGAATCAGCCATTTCTTTTAGTGGAGAATATTATTTAGAAATCAAGGTCGGGATGTTAGGTGTCGAAGAACTGCTGTTTAGATCTTCTCAGTGGCTAGTGCCGCGGACCCTGTTGATGCATGCAAGAGTATATACCCTTAGGACCAGCAGGTGGCATAATGGTTATGGCGCTGGACTCCCATGTAGTTGGCCACAGTTCAAGTCCTGGACTTGGTGGCACAAAACTCATGCCAGGTGCATGGGCGTGCCCAAGATCCCAAAAGGAGAATGGAGGAGAAGGGATTGAGGCAAGGCCCTCCCTCTGGCGGTATTTCTCACTTTCTATTTCTCTGTCTCTCTCTTTCTCTCTGGCAAGTGCATGTGCCCTGTAGCAAAAATCTCTCTTAAAAAAGAAAAGGATATATACCCTCATTCATGTATGCTCCCTTCTATTTATTGGAACCAGGAATTCACACAGACGCCTTTAGTTCTGTCTTGTACCGAAGTTGTCCTGGCACTCGTAGGCTCCCTAACGTGCTCTGGGTCAACGTGGAATGCTTTCTTTGATCTGTTTCAACTAATTGTCTTTGGACTGAAAGTTCAAGTTTTGCGGAAAAGGGCCCTTATTCTCTTTAAGGTGCAGCATTTTTATATTTTGGTCATAATGAGAAAATAACTTTGTATAATTGTGACACACGATTACAAAGAGTCGCAGCTCTAGGTTTTAAACAAGTTAAGTTTACTGCCAGTTTTGAGGCCTTCAGCAGTGAACACAGTTATGGAAGTGGCTTTCTATGGCTTATGGCTTTCTACCGAGCTGTGTGGTAGGGCACTTTCTTCTTAGATATTAATGAAAATGTTTTAAAAAAGATTCTTGCCATAGGGCGCATGTGACATGTGCCCGCTGGAGAGATACAGAGACAGGGAAAGTGTGAGATCACACACACACACACACACACATACACACGTGCCCAGCATGATTTTCAAACTACTGGGTCCAGGACTCTTAACTGTGGAGTTGGCCATGTGGGATCTAGCAGTCTTAATCTCCACATCATGTACTGACTCTGTGCCTGGCACTTTTTTTTTTTTTTTTTTTTTTAGGTGTTTGCCATAGAGCGCATGTGCTTACTGGAAAGAGACCGGGATAGTGAGCAGAAAGTGAGAAATAACCCCCCTCAAGGCTATGGCCACATTGTAATCCCTTTTCTTCCCAGGATTTTGGGCTTGCACGTCCATGTGTCTGGTGTGATTCTCAAGCTACCACGACTGGAACTCGAACCATGGTTGGTCATGTGGGAGTCCAGCACCCAACCACCTTGCCACCTGCTGGCCCTGAGAGCTCAGCTTTTCAAAGGTTCAGCATAGCAGTTAGAAGAACATTTTAAAAATTACTTGAGGGGCTGGCGGGTGGTGTGGTGGTTAAGGGTGCTAGATTCCCACATGGCCGACTGTGGTTCAAGGCCCAGACCTGGTGGCTTGCTTTCTCACTTTCTCTCTCTCTGTGTGTTTCTCTCTGATCAAACTGGAAAATAATAATAAATAAAGTTAAATAAAAGAATTCTTCAAAAAAACTACTTGAAATACAACACAACAACAGGTTATATATTGTAGTTGCAGTGGGGACAGAAATGGGAGAGTATAACTTCTGGTAGAATCAATTAAGAACGGTTTCCTAGATCTTCTTTGGCTTCTGTTTGCCAAACTAGACTCAAGAGCTATTGGGTAGAGCAGAAGTTATTTGATAACTGAGTAAGTGCAGTTTTCATGGTAATGAAATATAATTAAAGCTAAATTTGGAATTAGCTGTTTCTGTTCTTTGTTATTGTTTTATTTAAAAAAAATAAATAAATAAACTCCAATTGGGGCCTGCAGATGGCATAGTAGTTACATTGCTGGACTCCCACATGGCTGACTGGGGTTCGAGTCCTAGACCCTGTGGCTTGAAAGTCATGTTGGGCGTGTGTGCATGTGTGCATATCCAAGATCCTGAGAGGAGAATGGAGGGGAAGGGATTGCAGTGTGCTATTCCTTCTGGGGGGTGATTTCTCACTTTCCCTCTCACTGTCTATGTCTCCCAGCATCCCCACCTCTCTGCCATTGCACATGCCCTAAGACAAAAACCTCTTAAAAAAAACCCTCCAATTGTAGATTTCTTTTGACACTTGGTGCTGAATAGAAGGAATCTAGCTTAATGGGTCAGAATTTACTTATCTGTTACCTTTTAAGCCCACACATAAAAGGATTGTTTGGCATGATAATTGAGCTTATAACAGAGATTTATATATGAAAGGATTAAAGAAAAACCTTGTTAATTGTTAGATTTTAATGTTATCCAAAGACAATGGATATTTAAAATATATATATATTTTTAGGACTGGCAGGTGGCATGGTGGTTAAGGTGCTGGACATACATGTGGCTGACCACAGTTCTAGTCTCTGACCTGGTGGCTTGCTCTCTCACTTTCCCTTTCTCTCTCCTTCTCTTGTCAAATTAAAAAATAATAACAAATAAAATTAAATAAATGTTTTTAATAAATGAATTTTTAAAAAAATGATCTTTTGGAAAATCGTTTTACTTTGGGTATTATACTTTGCTGCTCCTTTTTTTTTTAAAAAAATTTTTTTGGAGAGGTTTTTGCTATAGGGCACGTGTGCTTGCCAGAAAGACAGAGAGAGACAGATGCAGAAAACGAGAAATCACCCCCCAGAGATGATGGCCACGCTGCAATTCATTTTCCTCCATTCTCCTCTCAGGATCTTGGGCACGTGTACACATGCGCCCGGCATGAGTTTAATCCACTGGGTCCGGGACTTGAACCATGGTCGACTACATGGGAGTCCAGCAACATAGCCATTATGCCAACTGCTGGTCCCTAAAAATTTTTTTTTTGCTATAGGGCACATGTGCTTACCAGAAAGAGACAGAGAAAGAGGGGAAATGAGAAAGCACCCTCCCAGGGGTATGGCCTTGCTGCAATCCCTTCTTCATTTTCCTCTTGGGATTTTGGGCACACCTGCATGCCCAGTGTGTGTCTCTTAAGCCACTGGGTCTGGGAATTGAACTGCACAGTCAACCAACCAGGTCGGATCCATCTGCCTTAACTTTCATGCCACTTGTTGGCCCCTAAAATGCCTTTTAGTATGTTTTTGTTGACTAGTATAAAGATATCCTTTTAATTTGAATCTTTGTATCTAAAAATGAAAAATTCCTATCAATGGTGTTCTTTCTTTTATAGGCAATCGATCATCTAATGCAAAGTTGCCCTCAGTTCCAACCGTCGGTTCAGTTCCACAAGACCCAGATTCAAATATGAGGTATTTACCCTACTCACTTGGATCTTGTAACTTATGCTTTTAGATGGCTCTTTAAACTGTCCAGATATATTTCTCCTTTCTTCCTTCCATTTTCGTTTTTAACATATATGATATTCAGAGGCTTGGGAATATTTTTGAAGTTCATTTTAAAAGACTATAAGATGCAAAATGTTCCTTAAAAGCAACTATTTGTAATAAATTATAAGTGTTATGTGTATATAAAATATGTTATTTATATAAGCTTTTGGCTTTTGTTTCATATGACTGTAAATTTGAAGTCTGAAATGTGTTGTTCCTCTTCTGTGAAAGTGCTGAAATAATAAGTGATAACCAGGCAGCCAAAGCCACAAGGATACTGAAGTGTAGTTGGATTTTTACTGTCACTTACCTTGATTAATTGGGAATATGCACTTCAAATTCTAATTTGGAATGCTCTGGATGTGTTGTCCATCACTAGAGCCTTAGTGGCCAGAAAAATCGTGAATGTCTTTACCACAATTGGAAAATCCATAGCCTTCCACAAATGCAGGCACTTGGTTGCTTTGAGTATAGGCTAGTATTTGTGATACCATCCAGGAATAATCAGTTCCCCGAGACAGCAAGAGTAGTAGGAGTGAGGACATGTATATTGCCAGCAGAAACTTCCCTATGTTTGTGTTGATGGTTGTCAGTAGCAGCTGCTTTCTCACAAGTATGAACTGGGAAGTACTCTAAGTATGTGTGCTTTTTAGAATTATTTATCTCATTTTTATTTATTATTATCTTTTTTTTTTTTTTTTTTTTTAATTTGCCATAGAGCACGTTGTACTCACCAGAGAGTGAGAGAGAAAGTAAAAGAGCAAGTGGTTAGGTCCAAGACTCAGACCCATGGATGACCATGGGGGAGTCCAGGGCCTTAACCAGCGTACCACCTGCTGGCCCCAGTCCTCCTAGTGTGAGGGGCGGATAAGTAGTGACCTTGTATGTACTTGGTTTGTAAGTTAGATACTAAAGCTTTGTATCCCACTGAGTTTCTTGAAATGCAGGGAGGGAGCTTGTTTTTGTAAACTCATTACATATATCTGTAATATATTTATATAGAGTCAAAGACATTAATATGTAAATTGAGATCATTATAAATGTGCTTATGAAGCTTATTATTTTTGAGTGAAAAATCATTCAGATTTCATTATGAAGAAATTATTTTACATCCCAACCCAAAAGACCATAAACTGCTTCTTTCAGCTTGCAAACATTTATTGGGTCTGTACTAAGCCATCGGTGCGAATTTAGGGATGAAGGAAAACATTTAATTCAGGGTGCTGACGTTGTAGGGGTGACTAGGCAGCTTTGATGAAATTGTGTTGGTTTCAGCTCTAATGGAACTAAAAAGAAAGTGCAGTTAGCTGGCCAGTGAAGACATTCAGTGAGAACTGACGCTGGGAGTGAGTGTCAGGGTGGGCAAGTTAGATCAGGATGAAAAATAGATATTCCGGGGACCAGCAGTTAGCATAATGGCTATGTTGCTGGACTCTCGTGTAGTCAACTGCAGTTCAAGCGCTGGACCCGGGGGCTTAAACTCACGCCAGGTGCATGTGCGTGTGTGTCCAAAATCCCAAGAGGAGAATGGAGGAGAGAGGATTGCGGTGTGGCCATACCCTCTGGGGGGTGATTTCTCGCTTTCTATCTCTCTGTCTCTCTGTCTGGTGAACACACGAGCCTTATAGCAAAAACCTCTCAATTAAAAAAAAAAATAGATATTCCGGGCAGAAGGACTGCTGTGTGTAGTAGCAGTGCCTCTTTGAGTAATTTTCCCACCATTTTTTAATTTTAATTTTTATTTCTGTGGAAATACATGCTTTTGCTAATGGGTCATCGGAAAAGTCATGATGCATTTTTGCATAGAAAAACAGAGAAATACGTCATGATTTTTCCAGCAACACGGTAAAAACGTAAAGCATTGGCAGGTTCGACAGCGTAGCTCAGGCACCTTAACATCTTTCCTTTAGTATTACAGAGAGGCTCGAGCAGGCTCTGGAAAAGGCAGCTCCTCTTCTGCGGGAGATTTTTGTGGATTTTGCACCTTTTCTTTCTCGGACACTTCTGGGTAGCCATGGACAAGAACTGCTTATAGAGGGAACAAGTAAGTGATGTTTCTTTTTAAAATATATATAATTTGCATTTCAGGATAGAGACAAGTGGGTATCAAGATTTGGCGTGGCATTTCCTGAAGTGTCTTCAACCTTGGGAAAGACTTCTCATAAAGTCTGTATGTTTTGAAGGAGATGACCGATGTCTCTGCTGTATTCTTATCTACTCACCGTTTTTATGAATGATTTGGATGAAATAGGAGGTTGTTGAATCAAATACTAAGAGATTTTTTGACCCACTAACATGAACTATGAGATAGAGAATTAGAGAGACCTGTCACAAAGTTTTTACTTAAACTGAAGATCTATGTAAAAAAGTGTGTATTGCCACATTTTAGGACAATGAAAAATGCTGTGTTAGAAACTATTAGTAGACTTTTGTTTTCCAGGTAAGTAGAGATAATGGTAGCGTTGTACTCTACCTGCTTACCTCGTACATGGATTACTGGGTCTCTTCTAGGTGGAGTACCTTAAGATTGTATCAAACTATTATACCCAGCATGCAGAAGTAGATTATTGAGGGCATTGGAATGGCTGAAGAATTATGGGATTTGCTTTTTTTTGGATACGGGGCATTTGTAATATACTGAGTGTCTTCAAATATTAGGGAGGGTGATTCAGAAGTAAAGGCTGATTCCCTCAGGCAGCAGATAACAGTTTGAGAACAATTTTTCCATTGGTTCTATTTAAGAGTTTAACATACTGACTCAATATGCAGGCCTTCATGCCCTAAATAGAATATTTTAAGGATAAGCTACAGCAGTGATAAGAATTAATTTTTTTTAAGTGAGATTTTTGCTATAGGGTACATGCATTCCCTGAAGAGAGAGAGAGAGACAGAGAGACAGAAATTGAGACATCAGCCCCCAGGGGGATAACCATGCCTCAGTCCCTTCTCCTCCATTCTGCTCTTGGGATCTTGGGCACGCATGCACACACGCCCTGTATGAGTTTTAAGTCACTGGGTCTGGGACTCAAACTGCAGTCCTGTGTGGGAGTCCACCTCTGTAACCATTACACCCCTGCTAGTCCCATGAGAATGAATATGTGGTTTGTTTGATTGCTCAGTCACGTAGTCAGAGTCTGGCTGTTCTTTGTGCACAGTTGATGGGTTAGGATAAATCGTAATCTTTTCAAGCGGAAAACTCAAGAGAAAGCCCTCCCATCTGTATTCCAGTACCAACATTAACTTATAGCTTTAGTTTTCACAAGGTCTCTTTTTTTTTTTTCTGGTTTACAGTAGCCAGATGAATTTCTTCTTCTTTTGTTAATAATTACTTTATTTAACTTCATTTATTATTATTATTACTTTTAGTTTGACCAGAGAGAAACAGAGAGGGAGTGAGGGGAAGTGTAAAAGCAAGCCGGCAGGTCCCAGGCTCGAACCATGGTCAGCCATGTGGAAGTCCAGCGCCTCTAACCACCGTGGCACCTGCCAGTCCCTAGGCAAATTTCTTTAAACTCATGAAAAAGACCTCTCCCCTCCTTTTTTCCCCAAAACTAAGGATATAATGGAAACACAAGTATAGATAGGTTAATAGTTCGAGATATTAGGGGACCAGCAGTTAGCGTAATGGCTGTGTCACTGGACTCCCATATAGTCGACCATGGTATGAGTCTCGACCCGGTGGCTTAAACTCACGCCAGGCGCATGTGCCTGCGTGCCCAAGATCCCGAGAGGAGAATGGAGGAGCAAGGATTGCGGTGTGGCCATCTCCCAGGGGGATGATTTCTCACTTTCTGTCTCTCTGTCTGTCTGGCGAGCGTACGTGCCCTATAGCAAAAACCTCTCAAAAACAAACAAACAAACAAAAAATCCCCCCAGGTATCAGCACTTTACTGGACCCTTAAAATGTCTGTCTGTAAGTGTTAAGCTTTAGCTAGGAATGTCATCTCTGTCATACATGCATATTAAGTTGGTGATGAATGATCTCATGTCCATGGTGTCAAAAAACGGTAATGAATTTATTTGAAAAAGAAAATTTAGATTTTAGAAATATTTAATTAAAATTTGGGGTAGCAATTTACTTTGATCTATTGAAAGAAACCGTCTGTTTAACCATGGACTAGTTAATGAAGTAATGAAGGATTTTATTTCATAAAATCGGAAAAGAATTGGATTGAAAAATGGAATAGTCTATATTATAAGACTGTCCTCGAACTTTTATTTCACATCTCAAATATTTGCTTAGTTGAGTGAAAATGAGCATGTGGTCGAGAGGTGTGGGAGGAAGAAGAGGTATTTCTGAGAGTCTCTGAGATGCCATCTCTGCCCCAGTCTCCCCTTAGCTTGAGCCTCAGGTGTGTGCCGTTGTGCCCAGCCTGTTTCGGTCAGCCCTGGAACCCCACTCGGGCCCTCCATGTGTCCTTGTGCTTAGGCCGTGGTGCCCTACCACCGGGACAACCACGACTGGACCCTCAAACATTTATTCTTGAAAATAATAGGATAGCTTAAAAACTGGGACCAGCAGTTGGCGTAATGGCTATGTCGCTGGACTGCCATATAGTTGACCATGGTTCAAGCACCAAACCTGGTGGCTTAAACTCACGCCGGGCGCATGTGCGTTTGTGCCCAAGATCCCGAGAGGGAAATGGAGGAGAAGAGATTGTGGCACGGCCATCCCCCCTGGGGAGTGATTTCTCGCTTTCTGTCTCTTTCTGGCGAGCACACATGCCTATAGCAAAAACATCCAAAATAAAAAGAGAAATGATAACTTAGAAACTATATTTCATTTCATCACCATAAACAGGGAGTAAAATGTGTGCATTAATTATAGCTTTTAGTGTAGCAAGACATTGTCACTTACTACAGTAGATTTATCTTTGAATTTTATAATAAATCTAGCAAAATGGGATCACTGTAGATACTCACAAGTATTAGAACCTGACAATTCTAGGTTCCTGAGCAAAGACTAATTTAGATTCAATTACTCACTGGTAAATTTTGATAAAATGGTAACAAGGAAGGAAAGCTCTGCTACTGTGCCTGTTGGTCAGCTTGGGCAGTGTCTACTCATTTGAATGTAATCAAAAAAGCAAACAGTTGGGGGTCAGGCAGGCTGCATGGTGGTTAAGGTGGCTGGATCTCACATACCACCTCTCAGGTTCGAGTCCTGTGGGCATGCCCAAAATCCCAAGAGGAGAATGGAGGGGAAGGGCCTATGGCATGACTATTCCTCCTGGGGGTGATTTCCCACTTTCCCTCCCTCTGTCCCTCTCTAGTGAGTGTATATACACTATGGCAAAAACAAACAAAAACCCAAAAATACTCTCCCCAAATAGTAAACAATGTAAGGGTTTTTATATAATTTATACATGTCGTTAATTAGCAAGGGATGTTTTGGGTTGCAGTTTTACTCATTGCAAATAAGGGAAGTTTGAGAGAGGAAATTACCACATTGTACTATACAGAAAACACTTAACTTGAAGGCCAGAGTTCTTGTTTTCATTCTATTCTTGCCAGTTTTGTGTTGAGGCATTAGAATGTTTGTTAATCTGGGGACCAGCAGATGGCATAGTGGCTATGTTGCTGGACTCCCACATAGTTGGCTGCGGTTCAAGTCCTGGACCTGAACGCTTTAAACTCATGCCAGGCATGTGCGTGCATGCCCAAGATGCCGAAAGGAGAATGGAGGAGAAAGAATTGTGGCATGGTCATCTCCCCTGGGGGATGATTTCTTGCTTTCTGTCTCTCTGTCTCTGTTTCTCTGGTGAGCACACAAACCCTATAGCAAAAATCTCTCTTATAAAGAAAAAGTAAGTTGATTAATTTTATATTACATTTTTTGTATTTCTAAATATTTTAATAAAATTTTCAAATATTCACAAAAATGAGAAGTATAATACCTATGAACTTATTTCCAATCACCCAGCCTTATTTATTTTTCTATTATTCTGTAATATCTTCATCTCTGTTTTGCTTTAGTGTTTTCCTGTGTTTTTGTTTGTTTGTTTGTTTTTATTTTGGGTTTTGCTATAGGATACATGCACTTGCCCAAGAGAGACAGAGAGAAGGAGAGTGAGAAATCCCCCCCCCTCCCCTGGGGGATGGCTATGCCACAGTCTGTCCTCCTCCATTGGGCACGTATGGACATGTGCCTAGCGTGATTTTTGAGCCACCCGATCTGGGACATGGACCACGGTTCACATTTGGAAGTCCAGTGCTTTAACCACCACACCGCCTGCTGGACCCTTGCTTTAGTGTTTAGACCAATTCCAGCTGTCGTGTCATTTAAGACTTGACTACTTATTAATACCTACAGAAAAGGACATTTTTCCTAGCATTGTTTGAATAGCTCATGCTGGCAGATGCTGCTGCAGAGCAGGCTGAGCCCACGTGGGTGTCACTACCTGCCTACCTGAACAGCTGGGTGGGGGTGTTCACACCTGTAAGTCCCGCTACATGGGAAGTTAAGGCAGCAGTGCATCACAGTGAGCCCGAGTCTAAAAAGACATAGTCTCCATGCCGTTATTACACCTAATAATATTAACAGTGTTTCTTTTATATCACCTGATACCTAGACCATATATAGCTTTTTTTTTCTTTTGGAGAGGTTTTCACTGTAGGGCACATGCGCTCGCCAGACAGAGAAAGACATAGAGACAGAAAGTGAGAAATCCCCCCCCAGGGGGGATGGCCACGCCGCAATCCCTCCTCCTCCATTTTCCTCTCAGGATCTTGGGCACACACACACACGTGCCTGGCGTGAGTTTAAGCCACCGGGTCTGTGATGCGAACTGCATTCGACTGCGTGGGAGTCCAGCGACATAGCCATTATGCTAACTGCTGGTTCCCAACCATATATATCTTTATCTAAAATGAAGTTGTGCTTCTTCTGATTAAGATTCAGATGAAATTCGCTCATTGCATTTCATTGACTCTCCTAAGGCTCTCTGAAGTCCTTATCCATCTCAGGTGGCTTCCCCCATTCTCCCTGTTACCATGCTATTGCCTTGTGGAAGAAATCTGTTGGGTTTTTCTGTAAAATGTTACATATTTTGAGGTGCTGTGACTATTATGTGTTTTTGATGTCATTTAACAGTTTATTGTTTTTGAGAGGTTTCTGCTACAGGGCGTGTGTGTTCACTGGTAAAACAGAGAGACAGAGAGACAGAAAGAGAGAAATCACCCCCAGGGAGGATGGCCACGCCATAGTCCCTTCTCCTCCATTCTCCTCTCGGGATCTTGGGCACGCACGCACACACGCCTGGTGTGATTTTAAGCCACCAGGTCTGGGACTTAAACCACGGTCAACTACATGGGAGTCCAGCGACATAGCCATTACACTAACTGCTGGTCCCTTTTTAAGAGAATTTTTCACCGTGGGTACCTGCGCTCATCAGTGAGACAAAGAGACAGAAAAGGAGAAATCACACTCCCAGTCTGGGACTCGAAATGTCTTCAGCCATGTGGGAGTCCAGTGCCGTAACCATTGTGCCACCTGGCCTCCTGTTTCTTTATACCTAAAATTATGTATTTGTGTTGGCAGTATCAGTGACCTTCAGGCAGAACACTTTCATGTTAGTGTCTAGAACCAGGTCTCTCTGGTTCTCTGATGCCCTTTCATTTAAAATAAAACATGCTCTCTACTTTGCCTGACCTCCCCCCAGTAAATCTCCAGTCAACTGAAAAAAAGCACATGAATTGTTTAAATCAAACTATGAGCCATAATCGGACCTTTTATCTACTTTGGTATTCTGAACGGTCAAATTAGTGGTCAGTGGGTATAGGTTTTGCTGAATCATCTCATCCAGTGACCTAGCAACTATCGATGTTTTCCTGGCTTCCTAGTGTTTATTATTGAGAAATAAGACTGAAAGAAATAAATACAAATATATATGTACGTTTTTGCGAGTACATAGGTATTAAAATATCCTATGGTATATATATGTTTAAAGGGACAAGAGAATGGCTATAGATAAATTTCTAATTTTGAATCGCCCAAGGTCCATTCTAATCGCTATTCTTTATTATCCAGGCAAATATAAAAAGTCCCAGGTCAGGGTCTGACGGTAGGAATTCTGGCTCCTCTGGAATAGAGCACTAAGGATGAGTGACCTAATTGTAGAAATGTCTGAATTTACTTGCTGGAAGGTAATGAGTTTTGAAGTTGGAGTCAAAGGGAGCTTCCTGGATCTGGGTTATGTTTTGTGCAACACGACAAGGTTTCAGACCAGCAGAGGGCCGCACGCACCCCGGGGATGGGCCTTCCTCTGCCCTTGCTTTTGGCCTTCATAGGCCGAGGACCTGTGGTCATCGTGCCTGCAGGGCCACAGGGAACGACCTGTTCTCCGAACGCAACCTGGGCACGTTCTGTAGCTCGTTTCGTGCCAGTGCTGACGTGGGGCATTTTTTCCATGTATTTTATTTCAGACCATTGAGAAACACGGTTTTAACTTTTTAAAAAAAAAAAACTGAAGGAGTTAAAAACACGCTTAACTTGATTACTACTATTTGTGAAATTGCAAATTGCCACCGTGTGCCATCATTAGGTTTGAGGCATTATTTTTTAAAAAGGAAAGAAAGAAAGAATAAGAAGGTAAAAGAAAGGGAATGGCTAGGATACCTTGACGAACTCTAATGGGGAGGGAAAAAGAGGGTTCAGGACCTCCAGCAATTATTTCAGATTTTCCAGCTTGTACTTTTGGTGATTGTTTGCCTAGAAAAATGCAAAATTAAAAAAAAAATGGTAATTTTTCTGACTATTAGTAATCTAATTTAATAGTTTAGTCTTTTTCATGACTGGAGTGGCTGTTTTAAGATAACTGGTTGTAAAATGTCATTGAACTTCTTTAGTTTTTATCGGTAATTAAAACGAAATGAGCTCTTTGAATAGATAAATCTATCAGTATTTGAAAATTCTTTCCTATGGATATTCCTGGTGACCCACAATGAAACATGAAAGAGAAAATGTAAATGAATTAATTTATAAGAAATCAAGAATATGTAACAGACAACGGCTTGCGTTTCTGTTAAGGTTTATTGTGAGGTCAGAGGTCAAGGTACTAATAAGAGTGTTTGGGATGTCTGCTGCCATGAAACAAAATGGAAACTTGATTGATAGCTCGAGGGTTGAAGGGAGAGAGTGTGGTGGAGAAAGCAAAGGTCAGGAGCCATTTCCCTTCTCTGCATGTATAACGATCAGGCCTCTCCCAAACAAAATGTAGATGATCCTGATCGATATGGCATATGTTGAGCACGTTTCTGGGAGTATTGGGCAATGTCATTATATATGAAGTTGTAATAAATGTTTTAGTATTTGATAGCCGAAATGAACAGTTCACCCACAGTGGTGGTAATTTCCACGCCAGGTTTAAACGTATATGGGTTTGACTCTTAGCGAGATGTTCACGTTTTATTTTAGAACTTAATTTCGTCAGAGTTGGAGAACAAATCTTTCATGTTGTGTTTTTCCACCTTGTAATTTTTTTTTTCTTCATTCTCTTTAAAATAGGTCTTGTTTGCATGAAGTCTAGTAGTTCCGTTGTGGAATTGGTTATGCTACTGTGTTCTCAGGTGAGTGACAAGAATGAATGTTCAATTAAAAGTGAATTCTCACGTGGATGTGTTTGGACAAGGAAGTTATATTTGCATTCTCAGGCATTTTTGCTATTGTAACGTTTGAGTCTGTAGCTTTCAAATAATTTTATTGGTACCACAAAAAGGATTACTTCTGATAGTGGGTGTTAGCAGATGCTTTTGAAGCATGTACTGAGAGAAAGTGAATAGATTAGTCACATTGAAATTGTTCAACTCAGAAGATCTTGAGACGACTAAACTTCACTGTGTGTTAAGGTTATAGAAATAGATTTATTTCTATACCTTGTGGAGTGCCACTCTGGCTCCTCTGGGAATCGTGAGTTTACTTCCCTTCTGTGCAGAGGTTATAAAATGAGCGATAAATAATTTTGAATCCTTGTCATTGCTAATTATTTTTGACATACACAGTAGATTTGGGAAAACATCAACAAAAATGTGGCAGCCATCATAATAAGATGTCGAAAAATAAATTTCTAAGAACACATTTGCTTTTCGTGTTCAGGAACCTTGAACCTGATGTGATAAACTTGAATGATTTTTTTAAAAAATATATCCAAATCTTATATCTGGTGATGTTTTCTTTTCTGTTTTGCAACAGATGAATGTTTTTATTGAGAGTTTTCTTTGTAGTCTCTTAAAAGTGATATCTTGCTGGTAGTAAATTCCCCTACTTAAAACTTTAAAATAGCCTTTTTTAATAGGAAGGGTCTAGAGGTCAAGGGTTTTGACCCATTTCAAAACCTTTGACCTTCATTTACAACTCTCATGGCTAACTTGTCTAAGGAATAAGGATAATGCAAAATTAATGTTTGTTTCCATCGATTTATTCATTTTAGTGCCTATATGCCAAATTTATTTAGACTGTGCTGATGGACATTTCATGAATACAAATTAAAGAATCATAGAAGGTGTGAAAAATCAATACTATGCATTGTCAATAAAGTGCAGTAAGAACAATTACTTCTAGAGATTACACCTAATGGATTTTTATAATGAACTTGTGAGGAATAGTTATGTTTCTTAGTGGGCTTATTATCCTTAGATTTAGTGAGCATCATATTTATATGATTTAATCACCCCCCTTCGAAAATTCCCTTTCTTCAAAAGCTGATTCACGATCACTGATGTTTATTTTTTGGATGGAAACTGCAATATACCATTCTTACATGAAATTGCTCTTTTAAGAAAAACGCACTTACGGTTTTGGATGCATCTTCATAAGAATGTGAATTTTTTGTTTAGAGTGCTCCAGTCGTATCATAGGTAAACGTGGCTAATGACATTTCTCTTTCTACTTGGAAAGCATGAAATGTGTTTTGGGTATTATTTTAGATATGGTGTATTACATGTTTGAACGTTAAATGCTGCAAAGATAAAGAATGACATGTTTTCATACACCTATTTGTCTTGTATGTCACAGTGTTGTTCAATTCTAATTCAGTCACATGGGATACGAAGATCATTGAGTAGAGTGAGTTTTAAGAGTCAGAAATTCCCAAGGTTTTTGCTGGAATAAAATACCTTATTAGGTTTTTGAAGTCTTGAACATTTTTTATGAGTTCTTCAAAAGTTCCATGGCATCCCTACAAGATGTAGCACAGTGTGAAAAATGATGTGAAAAATGAAGCCAGAATTAGCTCCAGATGTATACAGATTGTTCCGGGGTGATAATTACATTTTTCACTTTGAATTTTCCTAATTCAAAGAGGTCAACTTGGCAATCCCAAAAGTGATTTATTTTGTTAAGAAGTGAACTGTCTTTTTCTACATGAAAGCTTAAGAGATATGAAATTGAATTTCAAGTCGACATTTTACAGATACTGGGTGGGGATAACTTGAGTTTGATTGATAATTTTTTTTACTCTGAGATAGGGTGGGAAGTAAAAAGCTACCATCTTGCTAAAATTTTAATTAATTTTTTAAGAGGCGATGGATAGGATTGAGTGCCAAAGATCGAAAGATCAGGTCAAAAACTCCTTTTTAATCACATAAGTAATGGGATATGCTTATGAACTTAACATCTGCAAATTTGATTTAGAACTTTACAAATTAGTTGGTGTTAATTTCATGACCATCAGCCATGTTGTGATTATTTTTCTTGAATCCATTTAAAACTTATTTCCTTTTTTCTTTTTTTGTAAGATATTTAACCACATTTTATTACCGAAGAGTGTTTGGAGCCTTAAGAAATGAGGAAATGATCAAATTTGGTTTGCTGCTAATAAAATCAAACAGATCCTATATATTTCTTTAAAGGTTCGACTAGGATTATGTTTTCCAGTGTCAACTTTAATAGTTGTGTAGGCACAATTTCATATTTTATCTTCTTTACATTTTAACATCATTGAGGCAAAATGTTCCTATTTAGGGTTGAAAAGTTTTTATAATACTCAGCATTATATTTTTTTGATTAAAATTAATACATATTTAAGGTTTATTCAGTCAGATTTACTCATATTTTAAGTCCTAGATAAAATAATTCAAGAGCCACTTAAGCTCTGAAAAATCATTTAAAACCTTTCCTTAAAATAAGACTGTATACATTCTTTTGGAAATGGTATGTTCTCTGATATGCAGACAAAAAATTAGACAAGTTTTCAACTGCATTTCTTATTCAGTTTTTTCCAAGCATGCATCTTAATCACACCCTACAGTTTTTTGGTGTATGTGTATTAACCTGGTAGAAATCTATATGATATTAAAGGAAATATTAAATAAATGTTTCGAGTAATGTTGCTCTAGCGTC